TTAAAACATCCATTCAAAACATCGAAGGATCACTCTCTTCTTTAAAGGTTGATACATCAAAAATCAAGGAAATAGAAAAACAGATTGATTTTATAACACAAGAACAAATAAATAAAATCAAAAAAGAGTTGGAAACAATCAAAAGAGAGTTGGAAGAAGAAAAACAACGTAATACAGAACCGAAATCGTTTTGTGTGCTGCCTCCTCAACCCTCTCATGATACTATGGAACGAACTAAAGAGGTTKACGATTTATTCCAAGCGATGCAACAATTATCAATTGAAAAAAATGGAGAGACGACAATTGTTTACTTGTCTGGGAATCCAGGTTCTGGAAAGAGCGTAATGGCAAGACAAGTCGGACAAAAGTACTACGATAGTGATGACTCCAAAGAGACATTAACATTCGTAATGACGCTTAATGCCTCTACAATGGACACACTGCTCAACTCATACGCAGTGTTCGCTGAGAGATTAAACTGCTATCAAGACTGCATAACGAGCATTACTACATCAAACGAACTTTCCAAACAAGAACAAGTTCTTCAATTAAAAGCCGTTGCTAATAAACAAGTGACCAAGTATTCATCATGGCTGATTATTGTAGATAATGTTGTCGATCTGAAATCGTTTTCTTTATACTGGCCACAAAGCGGAGAAAAGACAAGTGGCAAGGGACAGATTCTTGTCACCACACAAGATAGTTCCTCCATAATTGTCAGCTCATACTGCCATCACATCTCACTCAGTTCTGGTATGACAGAAAACGATGCAATTGAACTACTTTGTAAAGTATCGGGTTATAGAGATGAKGACAAGGGTATCATGCTGAAAGTATCCAGAGCTTTGGACTTCCAGCCACTTGCTTTATCATCAACAGCAGTTTACATGCAAAGTGTTCGGACCGTTAACAAACAGTACTCGTGGTATCAATGTCTAGAGCAGCTAGAGAAGGAACGAGAGAGATTAGAAAAAGTTTATGAGAAAACTAGCTTGACCTACAAATTAACCATGACTGCTGCAGTGAATTTAGCTCTCCAGAGAGAAATGATTGATGAGATAATGTTGCATGCATTTCGTTTTCTATCCGTGATGGCGGCAGATCCAATCCCTTTGATGTATGTTGTGGAGTACGTGGTAAAGTGCCTGCCTGACGAAGATAGAAATTATGTTGCTTCAAGAATTTGTTCTTCATCGTTAGTATTATCATTGACGAAGGAAATACAGGACATTAACATCCATCAAGTGGTTTACCACTGTTTACAGACCAACCCAAAGATAAAAGAACGCAAGGTGAACATGTTTATTGTGATTTCTGCATTTCGTCCACTTCC